CCATAGTGCAAATGTGGCTAACAGAGAAGCAGAAAAATATTTGAGAAAGCAACTACTATTGAGACCAAAGCACCGTATCTCAAGTAGACAGCAGAAGAGAGTTTATCCTGGCAAAATGAGCATTCTTTCTTTTTAAATATAATCTAATATATTTTCAATCACTCCTTAGTTCTCAGCATTTCTGCTTACATGCAGTTTAACTTTGGTTTTTGAGTTAGCTTGCGTGCAGTTACTATAGTAAAATGTAATACGCATATTGCACTATGGCATTTCATGGCAATTTTAAGTACATTTTGGAGCTTCATGTTGAATTTTCAATATCTTATATTTTGTGATTTAACATAAAACCATTATAAATGTGTGTAGAAGTTAAATTCTTAGTCACCTTTAGATCCCATAGATAAGGTTCATAGATCATTGGGTTTAGCAGTTTAGACCTGGGTGGAGAAGGATTGAGAACTGCTAGCTTATACGGCTGCTGTGTATCAGCTGCAGCTACATATTATGCATTTAATAAAACATTTTTACTTGTTCAAAATGAATCGCTTCTAAAAACATTAAAATGTACCTCTGACAAAACTATAGTTCTGGAAAGAGTAGAAAAGTTTAGACCCTCTGTCAAGTTGTTATTGCTGTGCATTTCCCAATTGGACAGATTCACCTCTTTATTTGTTCTGGTGACCAATGTTACTGAAATAGAAATAAACAAAAAAAAAATGAATGTGTCAACCCAGCTTTAGGCAGTTGTCCCCAGAACATGTGTTCCCATTGGAAAATGTTTACCTTACCTATTGTTCTGGGGACAATCCAACATTTTAGTGTTGTCTCCAGAACAATAGGTAAGGGGAAATCTTCTAATGGGAACATATGTTCTGGGGAAAACTCTAAAATGTTGGATTGTTCTCAGAACAATAAGTAAGGTAAAATCTTTCAATGGGAACACATGTTCTGGGGAAAACTCTAAAATGTTGGATTGTCCTCAGAACATTAGGTAAGGTAAAATCTTCAAACCTGGAACACATGTTCTGGGGAAAACTCTAAAATGTTGGATTGTCCTCAGAACATTAGGTAAGGTAAAATCTTCCAATGGGAACACATGTTCTGGTGACAACTGTCTAAAGCTGGGTAGACTCATTCATTTTTTTTTTGTTCAGCCAGCGGCTTAAATGAAAAAAAAAAAAAAAAAACCTGACAGATTCTCGCAATGACACCACGATGTGTGATGCTGGGATTTTTCCCATTGTGCTATTGTATTCTGACAGGTTGACTTCCCCGCCAGAATACACTGATTGTTGACTGAATGCTGGTTTTCCAACAAGACTGTTCGAAGAAGCCAGTTGTTAGACCAGCTTCTGTTGATCAGACATCAGTAGACATGTATTGAAAATCAGACGGTTCCTGCTGAACTGGCCAACTTTTGATACATATGTACTGGGCTTTAAAGGGGTTCCACTAACTTCCATTTGCATCTCTGGGACAGGAAGTAAAATGGACATCTTCCCAATGGAACATATACAGCAAAAAATAAACTCAGAAGTTTAGCCTTTCTGTACTCTATCCAAAACTAAAAATAGGTTTTGACTATACATATAGTACACTTTAACTTGGGGCTATTGGTATACAATCACTTTTAGTACTTGAACTTTAGTTCTACAAAAGAAAGCAAAACCAGTGCAAGCATGCTAGGATGAACACATCATTATTTGGTTCAATTTAAAAATATGTTTTCTAATGTTTAAAAAATGGATTGTACACAGCAACACATGTATTTTGTACTGTAATTCTTATACACTTTACAAAGTAGATGCAAATATCTAAACCTTTTCTTTGTATTATATTCCATATACGTACTTCTGCAGGTATATAAATGGGAAAGTGCTGATGCCATTAGAACAAAGGCTGCAAAGATGCAGAAAAGATTATCCACTATATGGTAAGAGGATTAATTATAACTGAAAATACAGATGCAGCTAGCTGTAATCGTAATATGTAATACTGCACAGAATCCTCAAAAATTCGATTTTATATTTGAGCAAACAGCATAGTTTCAACTAGAATAAGTAAGGTGTCCAGGAAGGGATAAATGCAGCTTTTGCCATTGAAGAGATCGGTGTTTTCACCTACTCCCCTATTGCATTTTCCAAGCAAGGCTTAAAGTGGTTGTAAACCCTTACATATACAAAGTGAAGTGTCAGGCCTCAGGAAATACACAGAGATGAAACTAGTCCTCCTTCATTAGTTGTACCTGTTTATCTACAGTCATCTTTTCTCTACATCCAATCACAGTGCAGAATTTATACAGCTTGTCTAAGAGTTCAGAAAAAAGGGGACGGAGAGCTGAAATTACACTGCGAGTTCAATGCGGAGAATTTTGAGGGCCAATTGGAGTGAAGAGACACACATCACTCCACACAGCTTACAGGACCAGAGCTGAGGCTGTCAATCTCTGGAGGTCCCTCCCCTGTCACCATTTTTCACATGCAGGGCCATCCTAATAGCCTCATGGGTCCATGGGCAAAGTTACACACTAGGGCCCCTACCAGCCTGCCCCAATTTACGTACCTACTCTCAAGAATTAACTTATAAATAGTTAATATGTTTAAACATATATTTATAAGTACTTTCAATTAACTCAATTTTAAACAATATAAAAATGTGTGACAAATCAAAGACTAATCAACACAAAGGGCACAGTACAGGGGGGAGGTAGAAGGGCACAGTACGAAGGGGGAGGGTATTAGGAGGGCATAATACTGGGATCAAGAGGTCAAAGTACAGGCTCCTGGATGCTGCCCGGGACATGGCCATCCCAGAACAGCTTGGTAAAATGCGTGATTATGCCGGCAAATCTGTGACAGTTGGAAAGTATAATTTATTGCAAGATTGTCATGGGGCCATGCACCTGGGGCCCCTGGGTAGTACCCAGGGGTGCTCATTCACTAATATATAGCCGTGTTATCTTGGTGTTGGCAGAGGAAAGAATCAGCAAAATCTGGTGCAGCTCTGCATTGAAACCAATCAGCTTTCATTTTATTTTTTTTGCCAAAGCTTAATTGAACAAGCTGAAGTTAGAAGCTGATCGGATACCATGCACAGCCGCACCAGATTTTGCACTTTCCAATTTTAGTAAATCAACCCCTTACTGCTCTTAATTGAAACAAGTACACACTATAGAGCAGGGGTCTCCAAACTTTCTAAACAAAGGGCCAGTTTACTTTCCTTCAGACTTTAGAGGGGCCACACTGTGTAGTAAAAATGTTGCAGCATCAGTTGGAGTAAACAATGTCCCATTGTTGGTGTCATTGGGAGGAATTGTGACCCATCATTGGTGTCATTGGTAGGAATAGTGCCCTATCATTGGTCTTATTGGTAGGAATAGTGTCCCATCACTGGTGTGATTGGGAGAAATTGTGTCCCATCGCTGATGTCATTGGGAGGAATAGTGCCCCCATCATCATTGGTGTCATTGGTAGGAATAGTGTCTATCATTGCTAGGAATAGTGCACCATCATCTGTAGGAATAGTATCCCATCAATGGTGTGATTGGGAGGAATTGTGCCCCATCATTGATATCATTGGAAGGAATATTGCCCCATCATAAGAGTCATTGGGCCCCATTGTTGGTGTCCTGGAGAGGAACTGTGCCCCATCGTTGTATCATTGGGAGGAATTGTGCCCATCATTGGCATCAATGGGCCCCATTGCTGGTGTAATTGGGAGGAACTGTGCCCCATTGTTTGTGTCATTGACAGGAACTGTGCACCATTGTTGGTGTTGGTGTATGAAATAGTGCCCCAAGGGCTGGATAAAGGCAAACAAAGGGCCGCAGTTTGGAGACCACTGCTATACAGGGATATGCATTGTTCATATTTCATGTCAGAACTTTACAACCACTTTAATGATGCTGCTGCTGCTAAGCAAGGTCTGCCAGGCATTTGACAGATGATGTTACAAACATTTATGGGGGTCACAAACCTATAACAAGGACTACATCCTACACCTTTCCAGCTAATATATAAACCATTTGTTTTGGGTGGACTTTAGAAGGGAGTTTAAAGACTATAGCATCTATGGGATTGTTCCTTAGTTATGTGTTAAGCCACATCTAATGGATTCTGGGTACATAGCAACACCTTTGTACTAGAATAGCTCATTATTTGTATTTATACATATCTCTAGCATGTGGAATGTAAATACAAAATTTCATCATGACTATGTAAAGATAATAGAGTAGGTCATATCTCTGTCATAACCAACCTGGCCTGCTGTGAAAGATCTTCATAACACTTATAAATAATACCCTTTATGGGAAAAATGTCAACCCATACTAATAGGCATTCAATGACATTTACAGGCAAAACGTGCACATATATAATTAAATATTGTTGATAACCTGTAGTCTGTATATTGATTAGGCTGTTGTAACTGCATCGTAAAATGCACACTAGCAAACAAGTCACAAACGTTTAAAGTGAAAAAGCTAGGATTTTTGGCACAGATAACAATAACTGCTTAATATGGTGTACAATGGTCCCCACTCACGTCTGTTTGAGAAGTGGCAAATTGTGTATTCTGTTGGTTAAATTAAGCCCTGAAACTTTGAAAGTGGCTATTGGAAGATGAATTGGCTAGACAGCCTTTAAAGCAAATTGTTACTTAGTTTATCATAGTAACAAAGAAGGAGATTCCACGTTCAGCATAAAACTGAATTCCCTTTTTCATTTTTCCGTGTTTACTGCACAGAAATGTACCAAAGTAGATTCTTTTATGAGGGCCAACGCAGCCAAACTCTATATATGTTGCAGAGGACTTTCAGCTCTCCAAATCCATCAAGCTGGTATAGTTTCTCGAAACCATTTGTGTAGGTAACACAATCAGATCTCCATTCTATATATTTAAGTGAGGTAGAAATGATAAATCCCGTGCACTCCTGTTTCCAGGTGACCAAAACAGCAGAGATAGGACATATTTATTATTTTTGTTTCATTTATCAGTATTTGTCAGACGCAGCCACAGTCTTTAGCTGAGACCTCTTTGATAGTATGATAATGATTTTTGGAGTCCAGAAAAGAAATATCATCATCGTATGCTAGAGGCCTGCAGCAAGGTCTTGCTCTCACTTTTTCTTTTTTTATTTTCTTCTTTCCTCGAATGCTCTGTAAAGAGAGGTCGTAGTTGCGCACAGCAGCGTCGCATGTACCACTGCAATAGCGGAACAGAACTGTCTCGTCTGATACATATCCCAGCCCCAACTCGCTGACTCTGACTTCCAGTTCCTTTATGGTGCATGGCTGTTTCCGTGCACGTGCTCTCTTCATCCTGGGTACATTTTTTGGGTCGTCTCCAGAATGCAAGGACTGGCTGTACCTTTCTACCAGAGTAGATACTAGCTCTCGGATTTCCCCTTGAGTGTAGCTTTCGAAAAGGGCGGTGTCTGAAAGGGAGATGACACAGTAAATAATATGTGGGCAAATAAGTTATAAGTTGTCATAACAAAAGAAAATCTGACACATTTTTATGTACATTTTCTAAACTTTGCAACTTCTCTTTCACAATTTCAGAATTAAATATAAGGCAATAGCACTATATCTGTAAATTTCTGCACATATCTCCCAGACTTTTCAGGCAGGCTTCCTTGTGCTTTACCTCTCATTAGGTAATCATCATGTTAAAGTGATACTCCAGACAAAATATATTTTGTTTTTAGTTTTGGAGTAAAGAGAGACCTCATGTCACTAGTCATAGACAGTAATAGATCATGCCAGAGATTTTAAACTTTCCCCACTCAATCCACACTACAACTGGTGGTATTCAACTGTAACTTAGTCAAGCATAAAATGGAAAGATTTGTGTGTGAAGTGCTGGATAAGAATTTTGTAGGTATTTAGATCTGTTGATATTTTAGTTAAAAGGCTGGGTCCAAAGTGGAGGTCCCCAGATTGACAAAAGTAAGTGTGATGAGAGTGGCATATGTATGGTTGAAAGTCCAGTTCAATTTTTATTCATAATGAGATTAAAGACGATAACTGTTCTGCCACCAGCAGGAGAATATATTATGCCTGTCCTGCCTGCAATATCAAATTTGACCACTAGATGCCGGTAATTAATTTACTGTTTTACAGGAAATAGAGACTGTTTAGACAAGAGGTAACAGTTAATAAATCTTTCCATAATTCTGAGAGAAAGGAAAGTGATGCATTTTGGGAGCTCAGACTCCACCTTAGAGCCTGGGAGAGAAGGAGCCAACTATCAAAGCACGTTGGATGAAAACTTAAACCTTTTTGCATCCCCTAGAGGAAGCATCACTGGTAGGCTTGAACCTTCTGCCATCTATAGCCTAAATGTTCATTGTGTTTTCTGTATGTTCTTACATTGACACACACAGTATGTTTTATCTGTTTTTTTTAATTGCTTCACCCCACACTGTTTTGTTAATAAAGCTTCAAGATTACATTCAGTCTGGCTTATTGCAGAATAAGATTGTTTAGCTGCATGTCGAGTTATACACAGGGAAATATGTAGCAAGGACAGAACAATAACCAACATGTTTTGTGGGCATAACCAATCCCTCTGTATCTGGGCTTGTGTTGGTGAGGTTTGGAAGAAAACTAATTCACAACTGGTGTAATGGATGTGACTTCAATTAATTGTTTGCATGTCCACCCCCTCCCAAAGGAAAAAAAAAAATATATATACAGTATATATATATATATATATATATATATATATATATATATATATAAAAATATTTATATATGCACTATATTGGCAAAAGTATTGGAATGCCTGCCTTTACACGTACATACACTTTAATGGCACCCAAGTCATAGTCCATAGGGTTCAATATTGAGTTGTACCACCCTTTGCAGCTATAACAGATTCAACTCTAGAGTCCAGTGGCAAGTGCTTTACACCACTGCATCTGACGTTTTGCATGGCACTTGGTGACACTTTAATAGTTCCCTTCACTGGAACTAAGGGGTCAAGCTCAACCCCTGAAAAACAACCCTATACCATAATCCCCCCTCCACCAAACTTTACACTTGGTACAATTCAGTCAGGCAAGTACCATTTCGAATTTCGGACAGAGAAGCAGAGAACACGTCTCCACTGCTCTAGGTCCAGTGGCGGTGTGCTTTACACCTTGGTATTCCGAAGCTTGGCATTGCATTTGGTGATGTAAGGCTTGGATGTAGCTGCTCTGCCATGGAAAGCCATTCCATGAAGCTCTCTATGCACTGTTGTTTTGCTAATCTGAAGACCACAAGAACTTTGGAGGTCTTTAGCTATTGACTCTGCAGACGGTGACTTCTGCGCACTGCGTGCTTCAGCCCTGCTCTGTCATATGACATGGCCTACCACTTCATGGTTGCTGTTGTTCTGAGTTCCCTCCACTTTGTTATAATACCACTAACAGTTGGCTGCAGAATATTTTGTAGCAAGGAAATTTAATGGATGGACTTATTGCACAGGTGGCAACCTATCACGGTACCATGCTTGAATTCACTGAGCTTCTGAAAGCGACCCATTCTTTAATAAATGTTTGTAGAAGCAGTCTGCATGACTAGGTGCTTGATTTTATACACCTGTGGCCATGGAGGTGATTGGAACACCTGAATGTAATAATTTGGAGGGCTGTCCCAATACTTGTGGCAATATATATATCTATATATATATATATATTTATATACATATACACATAGATATATGTTTTGTCTTGTGTGTGCCTTTTTTCCCTTATTGCACCTTCCAAAAACATTTTTTCTTGGGATTACTCCTCTCTATTTTCCATCTCTTATTCTCATCTCCTTATTATTCCATAATATTTTCCTATATCTGTCTCTATTGCCAAAATGATCTGTCTGTCTTCTATTGCTTTCCAGACTTCCTGTTTTTCCTCTTTTTTTCTTGCTCAAATTCTCCTCTTATTATCGCTGTTTACCTAATAAATACCTTTTTGACTTACTTTTGCAGTGTTTACTTTACACTACATTTTTAAATACTTTCTTTTTATTGTTACTAAAGACACAGTAGTTTTGCTGCTGCAATTACTTTGCATATCTGCTTAACGGCTGTTGAGATAATATATTGTTTATAATATATTATTGTTTATAATGAACTATTTTGTTTACAAACAGTTCTCCTCCCCATCAGAGATGCTTGGCCGGGACCCAGTGATTGACAGCCGCAGCTGTGAATGTATACGTGATTTTGCGCACCCTTGTCGCCCTGTAGAAATATTTCTGCTATAGGGCGATCAGGAAGCGGTTAATAGTCAGCGTGGGTCTGAGAAAAGGGAGCACTGGCTAGTGTTCTGAAGAGCTTGTCCAACGAATACTTCTGCTAAAGGAACTTAGCTCACTCCTGAAATTACTTGTTGCTGCACTTTAAAAAGAAGTCTGCTATCTGCTTTCAGTCAGGACTTCAACAGTGCTCAACTAAGAAATCAGCAAGACGTCCTCAGTCTGAATAGTTCTAATTTGGGACTATCCAGGATGAATTCTGAAGTGTTTTGGGCGATATTACCTGCTCATATTCAGCCAAATGCTTCAGAACTCATTGGACGCCGCTTCACAGTGCAGATGGACAATGGCCCAAAGCATACTGCAAAAGCAACCAAAGAGTTTTTTAAGGGAAAGAATTGGAATGTTATGCAATGGCCAAGTCAATCACCTGACCGGAATCCGATTGAGCATGCATTTCACTTGCTGAAGACAAAACTGAAGGGAAAATGCCCCAAGAACAAGCAGGAACTGAAGACAGTTGCAGTAGAGGCCTGGCAGAGCATCACCAGGGATGAAACCAAGTGTCTGGTGATGTCTATGCGTTCCAGACTTCAGGCTGTAATTGACTGCAAAGGATTTGCAACCAAGTATTAAAAAGTGAAAGTCTGATTTATGATTATTATTCTGGCCCATTACTTTTGGTCCCTTAACAAGTAGGTGGCACATATGCAAACTGTTGTAATTCCAACACCGTTCACCTGATTTGGATGTAAATACCCTCAAATTAAAGCTGACAGTCTGCAGTTAAAGCACATCTTGTTCGTTTCATTTCAGATCCATTGTGATGGTGTGTATAGAGCCAAAAATGTTAGAATTGTGTCGATGTCCCAATATTTATGGACCTGACTGTACATGCATATGAACTTTAATGGCATCCCAGTCTTAGTCCGTAGGGTTCAATATTGAGTTGTCCCACCCTTTGCAGCTATAACAACTTCAACTCTTCTGGGAAGGCTGTCCACAAGGTTTAGGAGTGTGTCTATGGGAATGTTTGACCATTCTTCCAGAAGCGCATTTGTCTTCTGTTGGATGAGTAGGCCTGGCTCGCAGTCTCCACTCTAATTCATCCCAAAGGTGTTCTATCAGGTTAAGATCAGGACTCTGTGTAGGCCAGTCAAGTTCCTTCACTCCAAACTTGCTTATCCATGTCTTTATGGATCTTGCTTTGGGCACTGGTGCGCAGTCATGTTGGAAGAGGAAGGGGCCACTCCCAAAATGTTCCCATAAAGTTAGGAGCATGTAATTGTCCAAAATGTTTTGGTATACTTACACCTTAATAGTTCCCTTCACTGGAACTAAGGGGCCAAGCCCGACCCCTGAAAAACAGCCCCACACCATAATCGCCCCTCCACCAAATGTTACACTTGGTACAACGCAGTCAGGGAATACTGTTCTATTGGCAACTGCCAAACCCATACAAGTCCATTGGATTGCCAGACAGAGAGGCGTGATTGGTCACTCCAGAGAACATGTCTCCACTGCTCTAGAATCCAGTGGTGGCGTGCTTTACACTATGGCATTCCGACGCTTTGCATTGTACTTGGAGATGTAAGGCTTGGATGCAGCTGCTCGGCCATGGAAACCCATTCCATTAAGCTCTCTATGCACTGTTCTGCTAATCTGAAGGCCACATGAAGTTTGGAGATCTTTAGTTACTGACTCTGCAGACAGTTGGCGACTTCTGCACACCGTGTGCTTCAGCATGCGCTGACCCCATTTTATGTGGCCTGTTACTGTTGTTCCCAGTTGCTTCCACTTATAACATGGCCTACCACTTCATGGTTCCTGTTGTTCTGAGTTCCCTCCACTTTGTTACAATACCACTAACAGTTGACCGTGGAATATTTAATAGCAAGGAAATTTCATGAATGGACTTGTTGCACAAGTGGTAACCTATCACGGTACCATGCTTAAATTCACTGAGCTCCTGAGAGCGACACATTCTTTCACAAATGTTTGTAGAAGCAGTCTGCTTGCCTAAGTGCTTAAATTTATATACCTGTGGCCATGGAGGTGATTGGAACACCTAAATC